TGTGCACTTACTTCTGGTTACTTGTGGAAGCATTTGGGTGGGTCATTTAGACTGGACAGTGCTTATCACTGGTACTGGTATGAACCCCATGACCTACGGAAGCCAGCTGACCCATTCAGTTTACCAGAGAGACAGCCAAATCAGGAACATTGTGCTTAAAGATTTGGGGGATCCATTGGATAACTGAACTTTCAGACCTTTCATTGGAAACCAGGGGCTCCGGGATCCAAATCTGCTACCACCAGTTCTCCCATTGCCTTGTATCACTCATGTCCTTCTCAGTTGTCAGCTGCCATCAGGTAACAACAGGGCAGAACAACATACTTACAACAGCAATGCCACAATAGCAGCTTCTGCTATTAAAAATAGCAACAAGGACCTCTTGCATCTCACATCTCCCCACCCAACACAAAGAGTATACCCACAGCTTCTCTCAAACCTCTCACAGTTAAGAGAGAAGCAGAATGTTACAAAGCTGTTATATTCTTCTGCAGGGGAAAGGATATGGGAACACCTGACCCCCCTAACAGAAGGCCAAAAGAATGCTATTTTGGAGAAACACCACAAAAGCATTGCCTTATGACTACCATATTTTATTTATAAAATATTTTCTTTCACAGAGAGTGAACAATTTCTATCCCATGATGTATAAGTAAAAAATACAGCAAATAATATACTTTTTTTCCTGGAATCTGCCAAGTTCTTCTGATTACCTCCTAATTTTGGTGAATGAAATGTGTAGGTTTCAAAGCATCTCACTGTCTCTTCGCAGAGACTATCAGCAGAGCAAATAAATTACTAGTGTTCTAACTCTCATTCCCTCAAATTAGCCTCAGCATAAAAAAGGAGCAGAGCCAAGCTTTCTGTAAGTCTTCACACAGCACCATAAAGGATATGGAAGAGGGTTGGCAGGTTTCTTTCTGCTGTCTGCCCACAACAAAGCTTTCCTAGCGGACTATTGATAGCTCCTCTGACAGCAACTTTCAGCATCCACACCCACACCACTTCTAATCCACAAACAATGAATCAAAGTTGCCTTGTTTGGACCTGTCCCCAAGGACTGCAGTGACTGCATGACTGAACTGATGAGGCAGGTGGGGAGCAGAAGGATGACTGCGCCAAGTATCACCACAAGAAATAAGAAACACAACTATTTAAATCTAAGCTAAAGCAATATATTGCTTATTTGCATGTCTGAAAAAAGGTTAGGATTAAAAAAAAAAAAAAAAAACCTCAGCAATTTCAAAAGGAAAACATTCCAGTTGCCAAAGAGGAAAGCGAGTTACAAAATTAAAGTATCCTGCTTGCTCGTTTGTTTGAATGGTCACCCTGTGACCATTTCTGTGCATTTCTGTACTGCAGGCCTGGGTGCAAAAACAGAGAAGGATAAGTTCATTTTTGGATGGAAGTAACTGTGCTGCTGATGTCAGTGCACCTCTTCCTCTAATCACATGCAACAGCATTAGACAAAGAAGTTCAAACAAAAAACACCCAAACAGAAGTATGATTTATGAAGTGTTCGAGTAAATACCGCATCACTAATACCAAAGACTTAAAAGGGGGAAAAACAGCAGCATGAAACTGTAGTTCTAAGGATGACCATATGCAGGAACAGGCATTAGCCCAAACAAAACAAGACTGCCCACAGCTGCACTGTATTTAATAGAATCTTACAAACTTGCAAATCCAGCTCTGGCACTTGTGAAAATCATCTTATTTCTGCTGTGGGCAAAGTTAATTAAATAATATTTTCAATTGAAAGTAAATAGAATCTCTTCAGATCAAGGCATCCCAGGCACTGTAGAGGAAATACTTAACTGAACCTTATTAAACGCTTATTCACATGATAAAGCTCTCTCATTAATACTTGCGGTATCTAATTGTTGGCCCTTAGAAGTGTCTTTTGACTTCCATGAAAGAAAATAAGGGGATAGGACTGTAAAATGAAACAAACACCACCACCCTCACTCTAAAAAAACTGCGCTCTCTTCCCACCAAAATTTAATTCCTTTCACTATAGGAAAAGTCAGACTTCTGCTACAGTACTGTGTGTGTCACAGTACTGTAGCAGAAATCAAACTGTATAACCACAAAGCAGTTATAACACAGGTGTGGTTAAATCAGCACTGTGCACACATGCTGGGTGCAAACCAGGTAGCCCTTCCTAGCTTGCACACCATGAGGTAGAGGTTAAGAAATATTTATAAAGACAAGTCATATATATGCCACAAATAGGAGGTATATTACAATTACATCCGAGCGATTATTATTATATTCTCCATCCCTAGCCCTTTCCACATGAGTACTGAATTGTGATGGTGGTCTTCTGGGGTCGTAGGATGAAAGCTCTATGTCTTCCACTTGTCCTTTTTCACCTTTGATCTGGGTTAAGCCTAAACCAAAAGGATACAGTCAGCAACTATCTGTTACATTCTTTTCAAGAATGGTGTATCCTGGCTGGATGCAGTCCTCTAAGTCTTGTCTGCCCTGGCTCATCTTGCCTCCCCTTATCTTCCTTAAACAATTCAGCAAGGTTTGAGCAATACTTCCCCTTTAAAAAATTTTTAAAGAAATATCTGCCACATCAGCAGTTAAGAGAACTAACTAGTGCTTTGCTTTGACTACATTAACACTATTGAAGGCAAGTGTGTTCCTAACACTGCAAAAAGCGTACATGTGTTTGTAAAAGAAAGCTTTGTGGACAAAAAACATACAAGTAAACACTGCCACATTAAAAAAAAAAAAAAAAAAAAAAAAAAAATGCTATTTTTCACAAGTCCAAATTAGCTCCCATTGCTGTAAGAAACCTGAAGTCTGAAACGCAGCTGAGAGCTTAAAATAAGGAATTTATTGTTGTTAAGACTTCAAATGTGCTTTTAGCACCCTCACCATTCAAAAGAACAACAAACTAAAACAGACCAAAAGGACAAAGTTAATTCAGTGCAAAAAAAATCTTCCCTCTCATTAAGTATCTCACACAGTACTATGTGTAGCAACAAGATGTGTAAGACACAAGATAGAGAAAGAGGTTTTTCACTGACACCTGGGACAAAACAGCTCCCAACACAACAGTGCAAAGTTGCATTTCTGAATGGTCCATCTAACATAAACAGAAGGCCAGACATAACAAGTTACAAACCACCTATTTAACCATTTTTGGAACATGCCTGTAAATTTAAACTGTGTGAAATGTCTAACTACTACTTTCATTTCATCAAAAGGCCTGTTCAACAATGGACCATACAGCCACTGGTTTGACCTAAAGGGGCTGGTAGGTCAATCTCTTCTGACCTTATCTCTATTCTGTCACAATACTAAAAGATTACTTGAATAACTCACCAACATTTAACAATGCCAACAGACACCTTAACAGGGACCCTTTTACTACAGCATTCCTCCAGAGAGCTCTCTAACCAAATTTTTAATTCATGGGGGTTACCAAAACATTTAGAAAAAACTGATTGTAAAATAAACCAAAGGTTTATTTTATTTATCTTTGCTCAAAGGTACAGAACAGAAAAAAGTAAGCAACCAAAAGCAGATTTTTTTCACCTTGCATTTACATATCTCTAATGACATCCAGCGTCAATTACTGTGAACTTTAGATAATATGCATAATGCTATAATCAGATGATAACAGCAGGGTGACAAAATCTTTGTCTATAGCAAGTGAGAATGAGCCTAAATGCAGCAGCCACAGAAACAGAAATGAAAGAAAAGAGCTGCTTATCTTTGGAAGACCTCAGGTAGGCACAGATCTCCAGCAAAAGATACCCTTATCTCCACTGCCAACTCCTAAATGATGACTGGGAAGTGGTGCATCCTGGCTCCACCCCTTCTGGTCACTTGGTACATTGCATGCACCTGAGCTCCCCTGGGTTGGCCCTGCCTTCTCACCAGGTAACCCATAGGTTCAGGCCATGACTTACCATTGCCACTACAATATCTTTTATTCACTAACAATCTCTTCTTTTTTAAATAATATTTTACAAATGGAAGAAACTAAGCAAAAAAAAAAATCTACTATTTGATTAAAAAAAAAAAAAGCCTTGTAACAACAAGCTTAATCATATAGACCTCGAAATTTTGTATTTTAATAATTACTGCCTTGTTTTCAAAACCCATTCCATAAGGTGTTCAGCACTAAATATAGCATATATTTAGTAAGATAAAATTAAGCACCTTAGTCCCATGGGAGTCAGCAAGCTGGATTCATCACTCAACAACTGACTTAATCAATCCCACATTTAACATTTACAGTCTATGCTTAAATGCCTTTGTAGAGAAAGTCCAGTGTGCAACAGTTTATAATGAACAATCCTACACAATCACACAATCACTTCCCTCCCTTTAATTGAACAATAATGGTTTGAAGAAAATACATAAAGCTGTATGAACAGGCTAGAGCAAACACCTTCGAAAACTTCATGAGTTATGAGAACAGACTTTCACTACAGAATCCTTCAAGTACTCACATTCAACAGTGCAGTCATAATTCCAGAAAGGAGGACCCTACATGTAACCTGTTAAGTAGTGAAACATTTTAAAAAGCAATGAAAACTGTATTTTCATTTGACACATCAGACAGAGCACTCATTCTTCAGCTTCAAAAAGTAAATTTCAATTGAACTTTCTACATCTCTAAATGGTTTGACCACATAAGAGTATCAAAAAGCATAAACAACTACAAGGCACGTAAATGATATTTGAAAATGCCTTGAAAAATCCACATAAATCCTTTTTTAAAATGATTTCAGGAATAAGGGCCATTCTATTCCTATATAGGTTTAGGCAGGTACTTAAATTTAACAGTCAAGACTACACACCCTTACCTTTTCCTAAGGGCAAGGCCATTAAAGAGCAGGGAAGTAAATAAGAAGCCAGTGACTACTGTATGCTGTACAACAAAAATGAAGAACAAAACCAGCTTTTCTTTCATCTGTACAGAATAATTTTACATGCTGCTCATCACAGGGCTGGAGTACTTCAACAGTTCCTACCTTGAAAAGCTGTGGTATGGCCAACAATCATGTACTTCAGTTCAAAATTCAGTGCCTGGATACTCTGCATCCTTTCTCTTCGAACAGCTGCCTGGTAGCTCTCTTCCATTTTTTTGGTGCAGCATGTTGGTGCTCTATTTTGACAGATCTGTAAATCTGACTCTATTAAAAGAAAGGGAACAAATGCCATTAAAATAATGCTTCCTAATATGAAAGCAACAACCAAGTAAAAAAATTCAGTGCAAAACATATTAGGCACAAAATCACTTAAATACAAGGGAACAACAGAATCACTGAAGATGAGCATTTGAAGGGGCAACACATCCACTGCGCAACTCATGCTAAAGGCATCAGACTTTTTAACATCTGAGTGAAAACCATGTTTAAATTAGAATCCAATATGCACTGTGCAGCACTTCAAGGAATTTCCTATTGGCCTCCTACACTAGTGAAAGGCTCTCAAAATCTGTAATCTTCTAAGCAGCTAAAAATAAATAAACGCATCGGCGCTTTCCCAAAGGTATGGTAACTTGGTGGCACTTTTTTTTTTCCATTTCTCTCTAGTTCTGACATGCTTAACTCCTTTCTGAATCAGATTTCCAAAAAAAAACAGAAACAGAAAAGCAAGCACCAATAGTTGCCACAAAAAAAAAAAAAAAAAAAAAAAAATTCTGTGGCAGCCTGTGTTTACCTATATAGGGCCAAAGATAAGAAATTATGATGCTACATTTATATATAAGTGCTATGTTACACCAGTGGGAAGTACTACAACTTCTGAGCTTGAGCAGTACTGAACATCAACAGATATTTTACATAAAATAAAAGAAAAGCCTGGTTATAAGCTTAGCCACACACAGGCAGATCTCTGCCTGTCTAACAGTAACCTTAGTATTTCTGAAAGCAAGTAATGGCTCACCTATATTTAACAAAAGCACTGAAGTCATTCCTACCTTGAAACTAAAGAAAATTTGAAAATCTGTTAAAAATTTCTTAATTTTTGTGAACTATTTTTGGTTCTACTTTCTCTTCATCTTCTTGTTTTTGTATGTATGCATGTCAGTAAGGTTTGTATCCTTGATAAGGAAATCTGCATTACAGTGTTGCAGTAGACATTTGAGCTCTGTTTGCCATGCAGTATGACATTCATGGAAGCAATAAGTTCTGGAAGGGAGCTGTTACAGACAGAAATACTCCTTTGCTTCATGTAACACATGTTTTAAGTAGGGAGAACAACCAAAAAAAAAGCAAACAAACAAAAAAAAAAATCCACAAGTATCTATTAAGTAGTGAGAGCAAATCTAAAAACAGATGTGCAAAAAAATCCAAGCAACCAAAAAAACCCAAGACAAAACAAAAAAAACCTACAAACGAAACAGCTATAATATATACATATATTAGAAAGGAACCACTACCAATGCAATCATCAGCAAATCGAGATAAGAATTTCCCAATGAGATGCTGCAACAGCACATGTCTGGAGCTGCCTGCCTTTCACCTCACAGCAAAGGTGGTGGGGGGCTGCTGGGCTGCGTGGGCCCAGGCCACAGCTGCCTGTACCTCCTTTCTCCTGTCCCTGCACAGCTTTGGAGCAGGAACTGTACCTTCCCTGGGGCAGAGGCTGCAGGAGGTTTGGTCTCACCACACAACAAACTCCTCACAGAGGTGAGAATGGATGCTTGGATACCTGACAGAGCACAACATCAGCATGGGCCATCTCACCATGCAGTTGCTCCAGCAGGGCCCCAGCCCATCAGCACCGAGGGGATCTCTGCTGTGATATCACTGCTGATGGCCTTACTGCAAACAACAGAACTGTGACCAGTGGGCACGACTGTCCACGACTATGCCTTCCTTTCAAGGATTTCACTCAGGACACAAACATTAATGAGCCATCATGACCATCTGGCCATGCAGATTAAGGCATGGTAAGATGGCATATACAGCTGAAATAATGAAGAAATAGGTAACAGGATACACCAGACCTTCTGAAAATCTTGAGCGCATCATCCAAACAAGATGTGCCTAGGGTCAATGTCAGGCCAACAGCTCACTGAGAATGAAATCACAGGGAGGAGCTTTAACAAACTGCCTTGCCAAAAAGCCTAACTGCTGAAAATATCATGTTCGATCTTGAAAACGTTCCTTCCAGCTTTTAACAACTCTCCTGAAAGCAGAGCTAGTTTATGTAAAAAAGTCAAAATCAAAAGTGAAATATTTCAATAAACCTACATTTTGATTCCAGTTCATGAAACAAAAAATGGTTGTGACAGACTGCATATCATTCAAGATACTGTTCTGGAGGTAGACTTGCATCAGTTTAGGAAGTAATTTCAGGAATAGGAATGATGACTCTGCCCACACAAGCCAAGTTGCTGCAAAGATGTGACTACATTGTGCAGGCAGCTGGAAGAGCAGCAGGAGGGCTGAACAATAACCATCAACTGAGCATGCTCTCCTGCTCTTGTGTGCTAGAGAAGTTGGTTAGGGTTGAAATTAGCTTCTTGACAAGGCTAGTTTTAACTCCTGCTTGCCCTATGAGCATATGTTTGTTCTGTCACATGGAACCAGAGGTCAGAAAAGGATCGCTTCTGAGCTGGCAGCATGGAGTGTATGTGACATTATAGTGCAGACTGCTGAGCCATTAAGACAGTTTTAAAGAGTAGGTCCAAGAGCAGAGGGCTTGCATTACTCAGCCTCTGCAATGCCAGGCTGCTATGCGGAACACGTCCCCTTGCAGAAGTCCTCTGAGGTCTTCTTTGAAAGACCTTTACCAAGCTCAGACCTGTATGAGAATAGTTTGAAGCATGGTGCCCCTTGCTGCCTGCAGGACCTACACAAGGAAGCCACTCAGCTGTCAGTTCTGCATCCACTGATACTCTTTGCATCAAGGCATCACACATCTCTTCCAGAAAACCATGAGTACAGAGATTTTAGCTGAAACCACACTCCTGCGACTCCCCATCCCTCTATGTCTTCAGATGAACACTCCAGGAGCCAGAAGATTAGTTTATTATGCTGGTCCGGAGCAAAAGCAATATAGAGGGCACTCTCAAATAGAGACAGCACTAAGCCCCTAACAGTGCTAGACCTTTAAAAGACCAGCAAAGAGTAAGTCCAACTCCCCTCACAGTACTATCAGGCTGGGACTGTATTGCATGGAAACTGTCAGTTTCTCTTGCTTCAAAATTAGCCTGGGGCTATAACTTCTAACACAATTATAGAAACCTAATAGAAGTTTTCAGTACTACAACAACCTGGGTGCTGAGATTCAATTAGAACCGACCATTTCTATCTTTAAGTCTTTAATAACACTGCCACTAAAATGAATTCATCTTATCTCTCATCTTAATGCAAAATATACTCTCCAATAGAAAGAAAAGTGGTGAAGAACACTGAGATCCAATGGTGATCGAGGGGTATATTTCACAAGCACTGCTGATCATCAACAGAGAGAAAACCTTAATGGGAAACTCCTTCAAGGTTAGAAACAAAGCTATTCTGTACTCCAAAGAGAAGAGAGAAAGCAACATTCATGAATATGAAATTGGGTAGAAAACTTAATAGCATGATTTCAAATCTGATTCTGCTAATAGCTATCTAGGATTTTCATAACTGTTTCCCCCCAGGCTGCTCACTATTTTATGTCACTGTAAAATAATTCAGTTTGGAAGGAATCTCTGCAGGTCATCTAGTTCAGCCCTTAAAGTCATTATGATACAAAGAATCACAAGCCCTTTCCCTGCAGCTTGAGTTGGACTTTCCACTCACCTCTTTGTTCAGGACACCTTCAGTCACAGTAGGAACAATTTACAAGCTGTAGCACAAGCCAATTTGCCACATCAAATCCCAATCCCATTCTTCCTCACTGAAAGCACAAAAGGCATCTTCCACCTGCACTTGACCTATTGTGCAAGTATATCTACTCATCTGTGTTTCTACTCTGTGATATCTGGAAGAATGGAGCAATGACCAAAAAACAGGATGAAGTATTTTGTTGAAATTTAGAAGTCATATTCAGAACAAGAAAAATTATGCTACACTGGAGCCTAAACCATAAGCATCTTAGAAAGCAACAACATTCCCCACTCAAAATTCCTGAAACCCTAAAGCACTTAATATGAGCCAGAGGCATCACCACCTTGTCACAAGAGCAAATTATTTAAGTGCCAAATGCAACTACTGATCACTAACTGGTGTCAATAGAGCCACCCCTACTGAAGTCAGCTGCAGAGGTTATTGTGGTGTTTGGTTACTTTTTTTTGTTTGTTTGTTTTAAATCAGCAGAGTTTCTGGGCTCCACTCTGAATTTTGTAAAAGTCAAAGAGACTTTGGCCTTTAAAGCTATTTGAGTTAGTATACATGTTAGTTCTCAAAAGCAAAGAGAGGCCTGTAATTTAGCAATAACAAAAGCTAAATACATATTCATTTTTCCAGTTGACCATGCAACTTAACAGTGTTTCAAACAGGCAGCTGCCATGGTTTTATAATTTTTTTCTATCACTATTCCACATCATAACATCATGCAAAGCATGGGTAATTAAAGAATTAATACTCCCGTTCTGCAGACTGACAACTTGCTGGATACCTGTCTCTCAGAAGAGAAGAAGAACTATATATCCTGCAGGCCTCATGGTCAGAGAGGAAGATAAGTCACAGGAGGAAGGAAGTCATGGGATTTTGCTCTCTCACTCTCTGCCTGGCAGAGGGTGTGGATGGGCTTCCAAGCCATGTGCCTTCAGTTCAAAGTAGGTTTCCTTGGTTTCAGAAGACCCTCTCTCTCTCTTATTTTATTTGATTTGATTTATTAGCCTCAATTTCAATTAGATTGTATTATATTGTTTTATCTTGTATTTAGATATCATAGTTAGCAAAATAAGTTTTCTTCCTTAGATCATTGTCGCTGTTTTTTGGTGTTTTTTTGTTTGTTTGTTTGTTTGAGTCCAGTTCCCATCTCCCTACCCTTCCCTTTTTCCCTTTCCATTTTTGGGGTCAGGGGGCCCACGGGCCTGGTGCCCCCCTGTCAGATGCACAGATTGATCTAGATAACTCCGTGACAGCAGCAGAGATGCCAAATACCCTGCCATCTTTAAAATGCTGTACACACTGCAAAAGCTATACTCTGAATGCAGCAAGCTGGGTCTTTAGCACACACTAAACAATGT